ATCTAACACCATTACTGGCTAGCGTTAAATATATATATTGTAGAGAACAATGCAGCTGAATGACGTCACTTCTGACAAACCGTACCCCACTCGCCCTTAAACAGTCGCACTAAATCTACAGCAAATTATTTTTAGATTTCATTCATGTATAAAAAACATGTAATCTATCTTAAATTGTACTCTGCATGGAATAATGTAACCCATGTGGGTCGACCACTAATAAGAACCAAAATCAAATGAAATAAGTTCATTTTCATGGCCTCTGTGTGGTCTTGCTTATTCACTGTGTCTATGCAAACAATGGTGAATAAAAGTATTGTTTGTCTGTCTTTTGCAGAAAATATTGTCTGTTACGCTACATCACTGCATATCTCATGCAATTGAAAGATATTGCCGCATATCCTTAAACTAAATTGGTCATGAATATCAGGGTTTGGTAGTTAGAAGCCGTTTGGGGCTGAGCTGTCAAGAGTAGAGGCTGTCGTAGAGGCATCTCTGTGTAGGAGTGTCAGTTCAGTCACACGCCATACCTCTCGCCTTGCTTTTGATGAGCTCAAGCTCACTCTGGCCTGCGCTGCCATCTCGTTTATAATTTTGTTCAGTCAAAATAGTTTGTCAGTGTGAGCAGACATCCCAACTCTCACGTCTACATGTGTGTCCTCTCAGGTGGAGGACATGCGGTACCTGGTAGAGGTGGTCTGGTCCTCCCGCTCGGCCCTGCACGCCAGCAGCGACCTCTACAACCTGGTGTTTATCCGCTGGGAGCGTCGGAGGGACTGGAGCCCCTGGAACTGCATCCTGCTGTCCAAAGAGGAGACTTCAGCTCACATGGAGGTGGAAGACGTCCACAAGGTCTGTCCATGTAAACATTTACACTGGCATCACACATGTGGACCCATCTGCATTTTGACAGAGTCCATCCCTCAGTTATGCTGCTTTAGGACTACACCGCTGGGAGACTTCCCACGAAGCATTGAGCTCCTCTCTCCTCCTCTCCCTCTCCATCTGTATGCATTCTCATCTCATTAATGCATGTCACCAACTCGACTTCTTCCCTCTTCTGTAGTTTTATGTTTTCTCTCTCCTTCTGTCGCTTTCAGCAGGCATTTCTGCCTCCGGAGCTGTAAAGTCTCCATCTGTGGTTGCAAGGCACCTGCTGCCCCCAATGTTCCTGCATGATACCCGCTGCTTCAATTAATATTACTATTATTGACTTTCATTGATATTTGTACTATTACCACTACCATTGCTATTGCTTAACATCTCTATGTGTTTGGCTACTGTGTGTTCTCGCTTCTCCTGCTCTCTCTCCATCCCCCTCTCTAAATTGAAATTAATGTAGTTCCTGGGTCACAGGCCATCTGAAAGTGCTGCCCCTGGAGTTTGGACACAGCCCTGGCTCTGTAAATGGGAAACGAACAAAGTGTCTCAGACGGAGCCACACAACACTGTTCCAGCCATGATTTCAGAATCAGAATACTTTATTGATTACCGACAATTCTTGTGTTTTAGTATTTTACTATCTGACAGAAGTGTACTGATAATAATAACAAATACATAGTAGTGATAATAATGAGTACAGATAGTGTTGAGGTGGAATGTTTGTGTCAGCTAACATTAAATGACTTGCCAACCTAAGGCTATGAGAACTTCCCATACCGGTTCCTCTGGCCCCTTGTTTGTCTTCTTTCAGTTTGTCTAGTCAAACAGTAAAAAAAATCAGCTGGTAAAGTTTGAACTCCAGCTGTTACACAAACGGAGTCTCCCTCCTGTGTGTGTGTGTGTGTGTGTGTGTGTCAGGCATATGAGGCGACGTTCATCCGCAGGATCGAACACAAACACACGCTGGCTCGCCGCCACTTTAGCCAGATTGCCGTCATGGCCGAGTACCTGGACTCTCAGCCGACCGCTGCCCTGGGCAACCAGCTTGTCTCCAAGCCCATCACCATGGCAGCAGGCAAGCACGCCACCGACACACCACCGGCCTCAGCTCATTAAGACACACCCTTTCCTTTCTTCTGTCACTGTTTCCTCCCTCGCTCATTTGGTGTGTCACTTTCTAAAACATTTTGTCTGAAACCTAAAATAAAGTTCATGATGGTTTTACTCCTGGTCTTGACTCATTTAAATTAATTTCAGTTTTGTGTACTTTTGTTTTGAAAAAAGGATATAGTGACCTTTGCATACTGTTCTGAGGGCCCAGGCCCAGATTCCAGAAAGAATTATAGGGCAGAGATAATCCTAAAATCCATCGAACAAACATCTCACCACTCCAACGTAACCCTTGAATGGACAAGAACATTAAGTCAGTTTTACAAATAATAGCTTTTTATGTTGTCAGTTTATATATTTATATGTACACAATATTCTCTTCCGTTGCGTTACTTCTGTACAGCACAGACCCAGAATAATGCACATGTATCAGTAACACTGTTCTTCCATTCCATATTTATTATATTTCTACACTTATTTATGTTGACTGTATGTTTGTCTACGTGTAGCACCTTATCACCACAGCAAATTCCTCGTATGTGTAAAACACTACTTTGCAGTAAAGCTCCTTCTGATTCTGACTCTTAAATTAACCTAATTTCCCCTTCTTTAAAAACAACAACAAATAAAATGTCTGTGAAGCACATTGACCTCTCTCTGAATTACAGATCCCTCACATGCAACTCCACAAGTTCAGTCTAGCAACTAATTTATCCTTGAAACAGCAAATAAGAATTTACAATAATACTTAAAATTCAACTTTAAGGAGTTAAATCACAAGAAAAATTGTATTTTAATATTTATTTAAATGACTTAAAACAATATTGAGAATATTTTTAAAACCCCACATGGGCAACATATCCATAGACATTTCAACTGTTTGTTTACCTTCATATCTTTATTTTTTTTAATCATGACCACTGAAATTAGAAGATGAGACCCAACACAAACAAACGACAAACAAATCGATTGCCATGAAGGGTAAGATCGCGAGAAGAGCTACGCACATGGGGGAAATCATTTATTTGCACCAAAATGGTCATTTATACCTGGACTCTCATCCATCCGCTGCCATGGGCAACCAGCTAGTCTCCAGGCACATCACCATGGCAACAGGAAAGCATGCCACCGATGCCACACCGGCCTCAGCTCATTAAGAGACACCCCGTGGTTTCATTTCTTCTGTCACTGTTTCCTCCCTCGCTCATATTGTGTTTCACTTTTTAAAAACATCTTGTCTGAAACCTAAAATAAAGTTCATGATGGTTTTAACTCATGTAAATCAATTCCTGTTTGGGTACTTTTATTTTGAAAAGAGGATATAGTGACCCTTGCATAATGTTTTGAGAGAGCCCAGGCTCAGCTTCCAGAAAGAATTATAGGGCAGACATAATCCTAAAATCCATCTTACACACGTCTCACTCTTTTGTGGTGTTTTCCAACACACACACAAGCACGTTGAGCTCTCTCTGCTTTGCAGGTTCTGCACATGCAGTTGCACAAGTTCAGCTCGACTACTTCATAGAATTTATCCTTGAAATAAATTACAATTTACAATAATTCAGTTCAGCATTTGAAAGTAAAATTACAAGAAAAACTATTTAAAAATTGATTGTCTGGCTTTAAATGACTCAATAAACAATAGTGAGAATATTTTTATAACCAAACTCATTTTTATATCCTCACATGAGCAACATATCCTTGGAGATATAGGCAGTTTATTTACCTTCATCTTTTAAATTTATCATGATTCAAGAGTTCAAACTTCTAGATGGTGAGTCCGGTCTGCACGAAACTTTGAACTAAAATCTTTGGACCGTCATGATCAAAACTTATATAAAGAATTTTGATAATCCAGAAAATGCACAATATAGAGGAACTACCTCCTGTAGTTGGCAAACAAACAGGAAGTGATGTCATCCCCGCATAGGTCTTTCCGATTAACATGAAACTGTGCCACACTGAGGCTCTGTGCTGAATCGCAAAACATGCAAAACCCACTTTTTCAAACTCGGTGAGTCCGATCTGCAGGAAACAGTGCACATAGATCCTAATGCTTATGGGCCCTCATGATCAAAGACTGTATAAAGAATTTTGATAATCCCAAAAATAAAGAAACAACTTCCTGTAGGTTACATTAAAAACAGGAAGTGATGTCATATCTCTAAACACCCTGTTGTGATCGATTTTCCTGCCTTTTAAACACTTTTGTGTTTACAAACTTATCGCAGCTGATTGGGTTACACCTGTGACACGCCCATCAAATGGGAGAAAACATATCTTGAAACCAGTTGCGGAACAAAACTGCAAAACATTTCAAGGAAACATGTCGTTCAATCTGAAAATCTGATTCAATCTGATTAACACTCTCTCTGCAAAATGTGACGGCAATAGGCCAGTAGGTGGAGTTTTTGTTGCAAAATCATAAAAAGTATGCTAAAATAATTTTTACCTAAATGTTTTCCAGTCTCTGTGCTGCTCTCCACCTGTGACTTGGGACTACAGGTCCGACTTGCACCACCTCACTGGGCCACTTTTGATACTTCAAGTACATTGTGCTGATAATACTTCTGTTCTGTTCTTTTTAAGTCGGATTTTAAATACAGGACTTTTGCTTGCAATGGAGTATTTTTATTAAACTAACTAAACTAAAATTAAACATTGTAAAAGTCTATAATTATTATCTAGGCACACTCAAGCCTCTGTAGATGTGTGTGCTGTTTGTGTGAAATATTTATGGAACTTTGAACAAAAACACACTTAAATCCACATTTAAAATATTTTCAGCTTGGCTTAATCCGTCTCCCGCCCCTACTGGTAAGCCTCTGTGAAAATAATACAATCTGAGGCATTAGCCAAGGGTCAATGGTCACAAATATAGTTGGCAACTGTTTAACGCCCTCTCAGGACTTCAAGATAAGGAGTTAAACTATACCTGATGTTCTAGGAATTACTTCAAGAAACTCATGTTCACTTTTTTCCGTTTCTACGAAGAGGAAAAAGACTAATCATACAGCACTCTGTGACGTCTAATGAGGAGTAAGGCCCATTAAAAGAGGTTTTAATAGCAGTGATGTCTGCAGATGCTTTCACATCCGCAGAGAGGCAGAGGTGGCAGCAACGCAGTAAGGTAAGGTTTATTGCTCTCATTATCAGGAGGTACTTCTCTGTCTGTCTGTTGAGATGTCCTTGACACAATATCATTATCTTCATGATGACAGGTCCCATGGCATGGCAAGTACAGATTTACTGTGATTTACAGAATGCTGAATAAATTATGACCACACTGAAAAATGTCACCTTATATAATATATTTATTCTCATGATGATTTTTTATTACAAATGCTGTGTGTTTCCTCACTGGGGTCTTGTTTTTTCTGAATACCTCTGGTGTAGTTATGTAATGTACCCAGGTCTTATTTATTCAAACCCACTGAATTGTATTTTAAATTCCAGTGATAATCTTAAAATTCAAGCTGATTTAAGTTATAAATGAAAAAAAAAAAAGTATGTTGACCATTATAAACCAGGCCTAATATTTTAGTAATGTATGTGTTTACAACTTGTCACAAAAGTTTTGTTTTAATTGCGCTTTGTTTCACAACTTGAACTTGATTCTTTGTTTTCTCTGGAAGAGAACTGTTTAATTCAGTCAGAAATCTGTGGTGAATTGATCACAAAAGGAAGCTGAAGAAACCCAAGAATCCTACAATAATTAGTTTCTGGAGCAGTATGAATGGTTGGATGTATAGTTATCTAATGCAGCCAGGTTTTATTTACCTAAACTGAACCCAGTGAACTTTCTGTTCAATTTATTGGAGGCTTAAAGTATGCCAGGTATCTGAAATGTTTCCAGCTGATGTCTATTAATTCAGACAAATTTTATGCAAAAAGGCAAACAGTCCATTTTAACTTTAATATAATTTGTAAACATTCACAGTAGCCACTTAATTGTTTCTTTCTTATAGAGGAAGAAAGTAACAGAACTCCTTAATATGACACATGGGCAAATACCTGCAAAGATTCAAACTGATGTTATATTAAATGTGTGTTGACAAATGCAAACAAGGTCTAATACAGTGATAGTGATTCAGCTTGTCTTTCTCGCACAGGTCGAATGTCAAAAAAGTTTGTTTCAATTTTGCTTTAGGTAAATGTCACATATTATGATAAACTTTCTACAACTTCAGCTTAATTCCTTGTGTTCTCTGGAAGAGAACAGTTTAATTTAGTCAAAAATCTGTGAGGAATTGAACTCAAAAGGAAGCTCAAGAAACAAACAGTTCTGGAGTTTCTGGAGTAGCTGGAGTAGTAGTAGTTTATAGTCTTTTTATTTTAATATCACATATGATATTTGTGTTTGCCAAGTTTAAGGTATTTCAAGAAGCATCCATCCTTAAAATTTGGCCCAGTTCAATTGAAAATCTGTGGTGATAGAAACTCAAGTATCCTCCAACAATTGACCCTCCGCTAAGCCACGCCCCGAATACGCAGCTGGCCAATCACAGCGCAGTATAGGACTCGCTCTAACTGAGGTCCGACACTTTCATGGCTGCACTCCATTGACTCTAATGCAAAATGAGTCTAGCTTTTTTTGGCTGTATTTGTCCAAGATATGGTCAAAGCTGTTCATGGGGCACTTTTCATAGTTAGAGGTTGAAAGGAGAAGTACGATTTATTCTCTTTCCAAAACCTAAAACAAATCCAGAAAAATGTAGGCTGTGGATTGTTCCTAATGTGATGTTAGTTAGCTAATGCTAGCTACCGAGCTGTACGGGAACAATGTTGATCGTTGTCCTCTTTCTCAATAGTCAATAATACCGTAACGGTGCAGTTCACTTTTACTCTGTGATCGGCTTTAGCTTCTGTCTTTATTTGTTTCACGTCAGTTTGACAGCCTGAATACAACTTTCAAATGCACAACGCAACTGCAACACTGTCCGCTTCTTTCTGAGATCGCTTATTCCAAAAATTAGACAATATTTCTCCAGGGAGTGCAGAAATGGACAGTGGCAGCGCCGTGCTAACAGTCCTACAGGTCCAACAGTTTGTCGGACTTTGCAACAGTAACTAAGGGGGCGTGGCTTAGTGAAGGGTCAATTAGCATCTGAAGTAGGCACAATTGTTTCTCAGTATCTTGGGCGTAGTTATGTATTGCAGCTATGTATTATTTACCCACCCCGAACCCACTGAACTTTCTGTTAAATTGTAGTGGGGATTAAAAATATGCCAGGCTGACATTTGGCCAAATATCTGAAATGTTTCCAGCTGATGTCTATAATTCAGGCAACATTTATGAAAAAATGCAGACAATCAGAGTTTGTCATTTTATAACCATTTGTAAAGATTCACATCCAGTGAAAAGTAGCCCCTCATTTGCTTCTTCCTCATAGAAGTGGAAAGTAAGTTTGCTCTTGCTTTGGGAAAATATCACGTATGATGTTAAACTTTATAGAACTTGTGTCTTCTGGTTGATTCAGTATAAGTAGAATGGCAAGTTTAAGGTATTTGAATCCATCCTTAAAATTTGGCTCATTTCAATTAAAAATCTGTGGTGATGGAAACACAAGTATCCTCCAGCAATTAGCATCTGAAGAAGCCACAATGGTTGCTCAGTACCTCTGGTGTAGTTATGTATTGCACCTAGGTATTATTTACCCAACCCGAACCCAGTGAACTTTCTGTTAAATTGTGGTGGGAATTAAAAATACGCCAGATACGGCAGATGGGCAAACATCGGAAAAGATTTACACTCGTGGAAAATTATACATTTAAAAATGTATGTTGATGAATGCAAACCAAGTCTAACAGTTGTCTATATATGAGTTTACAACTTGTCTTTCTCTAACAGGGCAAAAGTCACAAAACTACTTTTTTAAAAAACAATCAATCTTGATTTGGCTTTTGAGTAAATGTCACATTTTATGATAAATTTTCCACAACTTGAACTTCATTCCTTGTCATCTCCAGAAGAGAACAGTTTAATTCAGTCAAAACTCTGTGGTGAATTGATCTCAAAAGAAAGATAAAAAATTTGTTTCTGGAGTAGCCTGAATGGCTGGATGAAGTTTTGTTTTCGTTTTGTTTTTTCAAATAATTTGTAAACATTCACATCCAGTAAAAGGTAGCCTCTCATTTGCTTCTTTCTCATACAGGGGGAAAGTAAGAGAACTCCCTTAAAAAAAATAGGCAGTTTTAAATTTGCTCTTGCTTTGGGAAAATATTGAATATGATGATAAACCTTATACAAATTCTCCTTGACTCTTAGTGTCTACTGGTTAATTAAGTAGTATGCCAAATGTAAGGTACTTCAAGAAATATCCAACCATTTGTGTATAAAATTTGCTTTGGTTCAACTGAAAATCTGTGGGGAAAGAAACAGAAGTGTCCTCCAACAATTAGCATCTGAAGTATCCTGGATGGTTGCTCAGTACCTCTGGTGTAGTTATATATTGCACCTAGGTATTATTTAACCACCCCGAACCCACTGAACCTTCTGTTAATTGTAGTAGGGATATAAAATATGTCAGGCTGACAAATGGTCAAGCTGACAAATGGGCAACTATCTGACAAGTTTCCAGCTGATGTGTATAAATTAGGCAGGAATTTACAACAAATAAACATTCACATCAGTGAAAATTAACCCCTAATTTAAATATATATATCATACAGGGAGAAAGCAACAAAACCCCATTCAGAAATTGACAGTTTTAAATGTACCTTTGTTTTGGGTACATATCACATCTGTGGTCAAGTAAACTCAAAAGAAATGTAAACAAACACTAGTATCCTATAACCCCAGCCTCTGCTATATCCATATACCTCAATTGTACGATGCACTCAATTCAGCATAAAAATGTGTGCCACAACCATGGTCACAAGAAAACACCAGTATCCAACTAAACATTAGCCTCTGAAGCAGCCTGAATGGTTTCCCAAAACTCCCTTTTAATTTTGCCATTGCTTTGTGTAAATTTTACTCATCACCACAAAGTTTCCACAACCTCTTCTTCTTCGCGTTAAAAGAAGAGCACAAGTTTCATTTTCTGTGATCATCTGTGTCATCCGTCACTAGGACGTCACAGTTTTTATCGTTCTTGGTACATTTTTCAGTAAAAAAAAAAATCTGTGATGAAATAAAATCAAAATTAAGGTGACAAAACACGAGGACAACCAACAATACACAAAATATACTGATAAGTTTTAAAAATACATTTATAACAGATTCAGATGAGACAATTTCTCAGTTAAATTTTTGTACAGTACAGAGATAGGAGGCCCATGATGCTTCGCACAAAGACTGGAAGCAGGGAAAACTGTTAGCCTAGCCACCGTCCAATAACTCAGAGTCTGTATTATGCTTCCTGGAGCTCCTCTGAACTCTCCGGGAAAACAGATGTTTTGAATTTTGTAAATACTTTAAATATAACCACTTAAATAAAATCCATATACATGTCCACAGGAGTGTAGAAACAGATAAAATGTGAAACTAATATTTCCCTTCCAAAATGACATCATTATTTCACCTTTGTGTTGATACAGAGATAACTGGAGATTAGGTTTGGTGTCTTGCCCAAGAAGACTCCAACAGATATGTACACATAACCCGCGACCTGCGACAGTTTAAGGCTGGAGTCTGTGAGAATAAGACTGACCTGACGCTGCATTCCTGCCACCGAGACTACACCTCAGTTATCAGCTGCAGTAAAGTCTTTTAGCTTAAGCATCACATCGGGAACCCGCAGAAGAGAAGAGGAGAAAAAATTAAACGACAGCAGGAAAACAAATTAAGAAAAGGAGAATGTTGAAGAGGTTGAGCAGAGGATTGTGGAACTATCACAGCATTGCCCTGATCCTCCTTACGCCAGTGCTGCTGCTTCCTCTTCCTCTTGTCATTGGGACAAAGGTGAGTTTCCTTTACACGCTGACAACTAAACCAGTGCAAAGAGCAGCAATAATTATGTTTTTTTTAAAACCCCATCTAAGTTGAAGATTATAATTCAAAGTAAACTGAACTGAAGAGATGAAATAACTTTACTGCTCTGGAAGACAATAAAATAGCTTATTATTTTTAACAGTGGTTCCCGCTTTGGTAACAATGATAACACTGAGCTCATCAGTTTGATCTCAGTGTTTTCATCTATGTTCACTGCACACACACATACTGCAGTATCATCTCTGCACACTGCCTGTCAGAGGTGTGGGAGAAGCTGTGAAGCATTTTTCCTTTTCTCGTTAAAGCTGCACTAATTTTTACAGCACATTTACTTAATGGTTCAGTCTTTCTCAGTGTTTCCAGCAGAAATAAACTCTGATAAATCCACTGTACACTACAAGTTTTTGTGGCTTATTTTTTACATGCACATTGAAAGTGTGCTTTAAAACAAGTGGATGGAAACATACTTAAACAAAGTTAGAGTATGGCTGGTGAAGAAAGTGGAGCAGCTAAAGATATTTATTTTCTCAGGAGTTGGTGAAGACCAAACCAGAGCTAAAAAGGAGAGTGAAAACTGTGCTCACACAGTGCGCTACTATTCAATCTCAAGCCACGACCTGAGTGCTCACACCATACACATAAAGAGAAAATAACTGAGACAGCCTGACAACCAAACAGCCAACCAAAAATTCGTGCCTTAACCTTAACACGCAGTTGTGTGTGTTCTCTGGATGCAAACTTTTTATGGTAACTTTTTACAATCATACCTGACAGATAAATGCAGCAGCGTCCGTGTGTTTTGTCCCCGCAGGAGGCAGAATGTGCCTTTGTATTGCTGCTAATGGCGACGTACTGGATGACAGAGGTGATTCCTCTGTCCATAACAGCCATGCTCCCCGCCCTCCTCTTCCCCATGTTTGGCATCATGAAGTCCTCGGACGTGAGTCAACTTTAAAAAAGTTTTATGTTTTCATGAAGTTGCTGTTCTAAATCCCTCCTCAAGAGTTATTAAACTAATGAAGACTAACAAAGAAATGCATGATTAACCTACAGTCTGGCTGTATTGCATATTTGAAAACAATGTAAAATGTTCGGTGCCATAACTTTCCCATCTCTGTCCCATCACACCTATTTTAACCCTGATGCTATCTTTGATAATGAGAAACACATTGGTTGAATACTGTAGGATTAGTCTAAGCACTATTAAATTAGAAATATTTGAATAAATCCATAAAATATCCAAATCTTGCTCATTTTGTATGCTTTTGTAATTTGTTTATTTATTTACTTATTTTCTTCTTTGTTGTGGCAAAGGGCAACAAGCAAAATGAATTTACATTAGAAACTGGGCTAAAATTGTAACTTTTACTCCCTTTATTACTCTTTACTTGTACAGTATTACTCTCTTATTACTCCCTCTCTGTTTCTCCTCCAGGTGGCAAAGGAGTACTTTAAAGACTTCCATTTCTTGCTGGTGGGCGTCCTCTGCCTCGCCACGTCCATCGAGCACTGGGGTCTCCATCGCAGAATCGCCTTGAAGCTCGTCACCATGGTGGGAGTCAACCCTGCATGGTGAGCTCCGCCTTTGTCTACCACAGAATTCAGATTTTAGTTTCATACAGGTCGGTATGTGTCAGCGGACGAGATGCGGTCTCCCAGGTGGTTACTGGAGGTTAGAAGTGAAACTTCAGAGATGCAGATAAATGTGGTTTTAGATGTTCCTGCTGTGACCACCGTGGTGTCGTCTCCAGGTTGATGTTGGGTTTCATGTCCGGCTGTGCGTTACTCTCCATGTGGGTCCAAAACACTTCGGCTGTTACCATGGTGATGCCCATCGTGGAGGCTGTTCTCCAGCAGATCCTGAAGGCCAAAGAGGGGGCGTGTGTCGGCGAAGACAACCCTAACCTGCAGCTGGATGGTACCTGGATTTACTTTTTATTCTGTTCAACACACAGTATGTCAACAAGATCTAACTGAGATTATTTCCATCTTTATTTTTATTTTTTTTTACTTAAGACTAGGTATCCAAACTCAGAACGGAAATGTGCTGAACGCATCATTAGATTCATACTAATTGTTTACTAATCACACTATTACTCATTGAAGTCATAGTTTAACCATTTTCACACTAAACAAAGTTACTGTATAGCTGTTTAGACAATATCTAACATTTAATAACTTCCATCCATCCATCGTCAACCGCTTATCCTGCGTACAGGGTTGCAGGGATTTAATAACTTTAGCTTCTTTAAATTAAAAGAATTAAAAGTTTTTTGTAGTTCAACGATTTTCCTCACGTAAGGTATCGAGAAAGGGTACGTCACTCTGATAAGGCACCTTTTATAAAGGCTTCGTAGGTTGAAATTAATGGCTTTATTAATTTTTTAAAAATAATTTAATAAAGTTATAAACCAAATAATAGCACCTGGCAACCTAAAATGTTTTCTTATTTATGACTTATGACTAATCTAAAAAGCATTAAATTATTTATTTATAAAGCGTTTGACTAGCAAACTTTTTAAGAAGAGTACCTTACAAGAAAGTGGTAAAGTTAGTAATATTAAGTGTTGAAACTCAGGTATCACATTGGCTCTAGTGTCAAAATATTTCAAAGGATATCCTACTATTACAACAAGTACACACACCAAGTACTAGAATTTTAACCATGTACTTTTGCGGTTGAATGATTAGTTATGTCATTTCTTTTCCAATGAGTAATCTGTAATGAGTATTGGATTAAATGTTTTAACATGACCAACACTAACACACAAAGCTATGGTTAGTGTTCAGGCAACTAATTCCATTGAAACACAAAGGTTATTCTTTAAATTAAGCAGAGATAATAAGAAATGCATTTGAACCACATTTAAAAACATTCCACTTTAACCAAATAATAAGAAAGAAAGAAAGATACAGAAAAGAAAAGAAAAACAGATACAGTGCATTAATATGTCTCAAATGCAACAAAGGAAATATAATTGCAGTAACAAATTGCCAAAAAACAACATTCAGAGAGACGTAACAGTTGACAAACAACATTCGTCAGTGAACACGTGCACAAATGTAACATAAAGTTTTTGACTGCCATAAAAAAATACCTCTTAGAATAGACACATAAGAACGAAGAGAAGTTAACCAGGCTGTTATTTTTGCAGAAACTGACGACCAATACGAAAAGATCAAAGAAATTGTGAGGTAAGTGAAGGATTATGTTTTAGTGATGTTCACTGTTGCTCATTGATCACTTCGCAAACACTGCTGTGATGTTCTGTTGTCTTCACTGCCCCTATGAGTCCTGGGTGGTTGGAGTGTTCTGGGTTCTTGTCACTGGAGAACATGCAGTATACATATACACTATATCTGTCTTTCAGTGACAAGAAGCATCCAGATGGTTCTGAAGAGAACTACACTTGTGTTCAGATACAGACGGTGTCGCAGCCTGTTCCAGCTCAGGTACAAACATCTGTTTTACTGTTACCAGTACTGATACTGCTGATTCTGCAACTGACAAGTACTACTACATATTTGACTTCCACTGCTTGCTTCAACTCTTAGTACAACTATGGCTACTGTTACTTTTGTTACTGCCATTACTATACACTATTACTTCTGCTGATTCTGCCACTGCTACCGCTACGTATTTCACCACTGTTACCGATACAAGCGCTACTATTGTTGGTACTGCTTACTACTACTGTTTCTGATACTGCTACTTATACTGGTAGCCTGCTGTACTACCACTGCTACTGCAGTGCTACTGCAGCTACAAATGCTGCTAAGCCACTCGAATGATACTACTAATCCTACTACAGCTGCTGCTCTTTCTACTACTGGTACTACTGTTAATTTAACTTGTAACTCTGCAGCTGCTCTATCACTACTACTGCACTGCTGACGTTACAACAAGCTATATCTACTACTAATACCAGTTTCTGCTACTGTTATTGCTACTTATTTTACTGCAATTACTACTACTGCTGTTGCTGTTACTGCTGAGTCTGCAACTGTTTCACTACAATGCTCTGCTACTGCTGCCTGCACTACTGACCCTAGCATCACCTCCACTACTGTTTAAAGAAATCAGTAACCCAATTAAGATCCTACTATTGCTACTAATGCTACTAATCCTATTACTACCACTTTTACTACTTTCTGTGATTTGTACTTCTGCTACTTCTACTGCAACTACCAGTACTATTACAACTAATGCTGTGTAATTCCTCCCTTGGTGTTGTCCTGCAGGATTCTGGGTGTCAGCCTGAAGCGCCCAGCAGGTGTAAACAGGACCTAATGATGTGTAAAGCCATGTGCATTGGTATTGCCTACTCCTCCAACATCGGGGGTATCACCACGCTGCCCGGCACCTCACCCAACCTCATTTTCTCTGAATACCTCCACCAGTAAGTGATGTACCAGATATGCTCAGTATGTATGAGACAGAGAAAGGAGACAAAACATAAAATCCTGTGAAGACATTTGAATCAACACTGAAAATGAATGAAAAATAACTCAATCTGTGTAAAGTTTGGTGTGGATTTAAATTTCTCCAGTGAAGGATGTTTAATTCACTCTGCTGGACCTCAAACACTTTCTTTGAATTCAGGATTTACCCGGACTGCAATGCCATTAACTTCGGCAACTGGCTCATGTTGTGCCTGCCCATCAGTGTTATCATGCTGGTGCTGACATGGATATGGCTATACTGGCTCTTCATTGGCTCAGAGTGAGTGTCAACACACCATCTGCTCTGTTAATCACCAACTATCTGTGTTTCTCTTCCAACTAACCTGCTGTCTGGTTCTTAACCAGTTCCTACCTCTTTTTATTTCCCTCCACATGATCAGCTTTATCTTGAGGGGTTTTTCCCTTTTTGCCTCATGTCCATTGATTCATTACTATTATCACAGTTTCCCTTTCCCATTTGTATAAATTATATTTTATTGTTATGAAGATGCAGTGTGGTCCAAGGCCACAATGATGAATTATTTATTTTCATCATTTATCTTTTTGTACATGTCAAAGAACGTCAGAGAGATGATATAACTAAAGCTGCCCCAACTTTTCCTAGTCGACTAGTAGTCATCAGTTAAAGCCATTAGTCAACTAGTCCTCACGCGTTGTTGATATTAATTTAATTAGCCTACTTAAATATATTTTTTGTAGGCCTCAGAAAATGGTTTGAGTTTAAGGGTGAGAAGAATGTTATAAACTAAACTCTGTAGGCTACTACATTACAGAGAAATACAAAACTATTATAATGAGCATTAAAATATACATTTTAAAAGAGGCACCAAGCATGCCGCCTAGTGACGATGTGGTGGTAGATTCTGAATGTGTAGGACACATCATTTTGTCAATTAATTTCAACGCAGTATAACACTGTGCAAGTTGTTCCAACTTCACAAGAACAAATAATTTGCAGACTTATCAACACCGCTAACTGAGCTAACTGAGCTAACTGAGCCTAAAGGTGTAACAATCCTCAGATGCTTTGTCCCTAACGACAAGGCAAAGCTCCCAAGTTGAATTTTTGTTTTTTCTGCGACTAACTAACTGATGCAAACTTGGTCGACTAAGACTCTTCTCATTGGTTTAGTGCGTATAGGGCAGCCTTAGATATAACTCAGCAGCTGGGTTGCTTCCAAACTTTAAACAAGGTATTAAACAGGTTTAAGTGTTCTTGTTGGTTCAGTCCTTCCAAAACCTATAACAACTCAGATTTCTGATTAACCAGTAGATTTAATCTGCTGTAATTAAGCTAACATTAGCAATAGCTAACATTGCAAGAATAAAATAACAACAAAGACAGTGAATATGTGAATAACTCAGTTTGGCTTTTGTACATGTTTTGTTATAATCTCAGGACTCCATGATACCTGCTTTCATTTCAACACAACCTGAGGCTGAGGCATGATGTGTAATGCTAATGTTAGCATTAGCAATGTGATGGTGTCAGACAGGTTAATAATGAGCGGCGCGGACCTCTGCACATGTTCAGTAATCTTTTCATTAGCCAGTCAGCGCCGTGCGCTCTCAGTGTGCTTTTAGCCAATCAAAGTCAATCATTTAGTTCACTGTGTGCATCTCTCTGGCGCCCATCAATAATATACTGGAACCTGAATATGTGCACTGAACACACACTTTTCACACACACACAGCTTCAGCTTCCTGTGGCGTTGCAAAGGAGAGCAGTCTGAAAAAGAGAAAGCAGCCAAAAAAGTGATAGAAGACGAGTACAGGTCGCTGGGACCCATGAGGTGATCATTTGTTCATTTACTCATTCTTTCATTTATTCAGCAATACCGTACATTCAATCATTTATTAATTATAATGTGTAGCTTAATTGATTAATTCATTCTTACTGTAATTTTATATGTTCATACATTCATCCATTTACACATTCATTTATTCAGTTATATGTCCGTTGATTCAATCTGTCAAAAGTTCATTTAGTAATTTACACAGTTTTATGTTTGTTCATTCAATCTGTCATATTTTCATTCAGTCCCTTAATCCATTTAGTCATTACTTCATTCGTTTAGTTTTGTGTCCATCCATCCATCCATCCATTCATTCATTTATAAGTCCATTAAGTAATTAATTCATACATTCATTCAGTTATGTATTTTTTCATTGATTCTTTATTTCATTTATTTGTTCATTCATTTTCATTTATTAATCAATCATCTTCTCACATTTATTCTCTTATTTAGTTATTAATCCATGCACTCATTTCCTTTTTTAATGTACACGTCTGCTCTTTCATTACCAACTCATTCATTCACTCCCTCTCCTTTTTTCCCTTCCTCCAGTTCACAGGAGATCGTCACTGGGGTGGTTTTCCTGGTGATGGTGTTGTTGTGGTTGACCAGATCTCCAGGTTTCATGCCCGGCTGGGCTTCTCTCTTCCCTCAGTGAGCATTCCTTTTATTTTTTAGTTTCACTCAGTCCCACACGCACCGTCCTCCTGCCGCAGATACTCATAATAACAAATGTGGATTCATCCGCCGCTGAGAATGTTCCCCAACAAATGCTCCTGTTTGAGTAACGTTTGCTAATAACTACAGCTGTTTTAGTAAATTACTAAGCCTTTTAATAAATGAAGCTTGTTAGCTGTTGTATTTATATTTTACATCTTCAGTGGGAACCAATGGACTTGGGATTGAGAACGACAGAGTAGGGGAGTCACAAAGTGAACAGATGGACTAACACACTGTTGGTTTTAGACTTTTCGTTAAATTTATTTAAACAAACAACTAGAATAACCTGATCTCTGAGTGTGTTATCTCTTAGAATTATGTGATTAATGTAATGTAACTGCTGTAACCAGACAGTGTCATCATCTCTAATACAATCAAATATTTATAAGCTTTGGCAATAAAACACTTCTCAGTTGATCAGTCTTTTCTGTTCTTGTCTTGAACAGTCACAAAGGCTACATCACTGATGCCACCGTGGCTCTGCTGCTGGGCCTCCTATTATTTATCATACCTGCCTACGGACCCTCCAGAAAATATGGTAAATACACAAAACATTATGATTTAGCTGTGAGTAATAGGTTCATATTAACATCAGATAACCAGATGTAGAATGTTGCCATGTACTTACTCAATACTGAAGTACCATTTTAAGGTATTTTAACTAATTCAGAGGAAAATATACTTTTCACTCCACTACAGCTGTGTGTTATGTCTGATTTTACCTTCACTTGATAATAATAATATAGAATAAGAATGTTCTGAACGTGTTTTTGAACTGCTGTCCAGTTGTTAACCTGTGTGTTGGGCAGTTTCTGTAATTTCTGGAAAGATGTGAGCAGGATATTTTTGCTCTCTCTTCATCCAGAGCCCATGATCTCCTGGAAGGAGTTCCAAGCCGCCATGCCGTGGAAAGTGGTGCTGCTGGTGGGTGGAGGCTTTGCACTCGCTGAAGGGGCAAAGGTAAGCTGCGTCTGTCTGTGTGATGTGTACCCTTCCTCATATTGCTAACTAGGACATTTAACTGGATTCTTGAGTTTGCCTAAGAAGCAAGAAAAACATCTTCCTGAAAAAAATGTGTTCAGTCTTTCAAAAGGAGGCGTTGATGCTTTAAAGCAGTTTTTTAGAGTCTGAGACTGCGGGAAAAAGGTGTCCCCTCAAACCCTGTTAGTTTGCTTGCTTAGTTTACACTCAACGATTGAGCCAAGATAACCCAATATTACTTCTTCTTCTTCTTTAACATAACTTCAGAATACACCAAATACTTTGAATACTGAAAGTGGGAAAAATAGTAAACTTCCCCCAAACTACTGCACCATTGAAGTATTTCTTTAACAAAAACACACACATGTAGGCTATTCTATGTGATCTCCTTTTGATAAATAATGTAAGATTTTTTTCACTTCCATCCTCCCCTGAAACTGTTTGCAGCCCCCCAGGGGAGGATCTCTGCTTTAAAGGAATATTTTTCTCTATCCTTTTGTAAAAACAACCTAGCTGCACCTCTAAAGCTCACTAATTAAAGAGTTACATTCCTTTTGTTTAATCCATAAAAATGTAAAAGCAGCACATTGTGGTTTAACAGGGGATTATGTGGCAGACTGTTTCTTGGTTGGCAGCCTTTACTTCCTATATAACCCCCCCCCCCCCGTAAAACCACAACGTGCAGTTTGTACACGTTTTACACAAGACATTAACTATGTTAATCGGTGAGTGCTGGCAGGTGGACTTTGTTTTGGTTGAACAGAGCCCTGCTAGCTGTTTCCCCCTGTTTCTAGTGTTTGTGGTAAGCTAATGTAGTCATCTCCTGGCTGTGAGACAGACATGAGAGTGGGATCACTCTTCTCTCATCTAACTCTTGGAAAGAAAGATAATTAACATTTTTCCCATTCCCTTAAGATACAAATTTTAAATTACCATCATGTCATGAGAAGACAAGTATGTCATAAGTGATGTAGATATTTTTGTCATAGGAATTTGCTATAAAATCACAAGGTAGCCCAGAGGCATCATTACATAACAGGATGAAACAGAAAAGTAAGATTAGCATCCTTGAAGCTTTAAACAATCTCACCTCAGGCTCCATTGAGTTGCTCTTCTGGAGCTTTCGATCACATCACGCAGTCATCAGCAGAAAGAGTTTGCTTAGTTATAATGAAACATTTCTTTCTGAGCACTTTAAGGACTTCTCCGTGTGAGCTTAACATTATCTACTGAGGAGACATAAAATAACACATTTGAGATGAGACATAATCAAAGTCATTTGATAAAATAAACACCCCAGAGGAAAGATAACAAAGATAACAAAAGACATAAAAGATTACAGCACAAGTTTATTTAAATGGAAGTCTGTAAGACTTTTAAAAACACTTGATGGCAGGTTGTGGTAAAACCTGCCATCGCCTTTAAAATTTGGCTAAGATAACCTTGGCAAAGATCTGCACTCTGATATGACTTAGGAATGCAAGGAACTTTAATGTAACCTGCCTCCTTGAATGCACCATGCACATTTTCAGTCTCATCGCAGCATGACAACGTCTCTGCAAAGGGATTTATAGTAGAAATGAACTCAAAGCAGGACATCAGAAAATAGTCTGGGATGATAAGTAACTTGTAGTTAAAGGGTCGGTTCATTCAAATCACAAAAAAATGCAAGTTGTGTCTAGCCACATTATCTAGTCGTGGTTTTATCTGCTGATGTTTTATGATATTGACCTCTGAAAACAGTTGTGTTTTAAGTTCCATTTAACTTGATTGTATTTGGCTGGAAGCAGAAATCTCACCGGCAGATGTATCAAAATCTGGACAAACAACGTGAACTATCTACATGAATTGTTTGGATGCCACTAAGAGCAGGAGGGGAAATATATCTTGAACTGACCCTTTAATCTAAAACAAGGCATAAACATGCATTAAAATGGTTCAGAACCTGCTTGCTGATTCGTCAGTCGTGATGATGATGTGTGTGTGTTTGCAGGAGTCGGGCCTGTCTTTGTGGGTGGCCGAGTTGCTGACACCTCTGGGTGATCTGCCAGTCTTGGCCACGATCACAATCGCCTGCATCATCGTCACCACAGTAACAGAGGTGGCCAGCAATGCCGCCACCATCACCATCTTCCTCCCCATCCTCTCTCCTCTGGTAGGTTCACAGTGTCTAATGCAGTGTTTTTGTTTTTCTAGGAGATTTTATTGTCACAAAATCATCTGCTGAAAGACCTTTTTCAGCCTTGATGTTGAATATTTGAATGACTGAAATATATGTTCTGGTCTGCAGGAAATACACAAACAATTAGGCAAAAAAAAACACACAATTAATTCCAACAAAAGATTAAAGCCTACTATGCCTAACATTCTTACAAAACACAACATATCTAAGTTAACATCAGACTTCTCCCAAACTAATCATTTTATATTATAAACCCATAGATTATTTTAAAATGTTTTCTGTTCCTCACTAGATCATCCGTTTAAGTGAAATAATGGTTTCTTTACAGTAATACTAACTCTTTGCCACAAACTAAGTACTAACACAAATGTGCAAAAATGACGGAATTATAACCAAAATGTACAGAAACCATTTTGACCAAACACTCAGTAGTGTGGCAGAAATGGTGATTTTATCTACCAGTTAATATGGGGGCTTCTGTTGTCCACAGCTGCTTAATACTGTATGAAAACCTACTTCAGTTCATTAAACCGTGTTTCATGTTTTGATTTGTTTATTATTTAATATTTTTTTCTTTAAATGCATTATGTAGCAAAAGCTGTTGTATCAATTACGGTGTGATCATGTCAGCATTTATGGTGTGAGATAAAGTAGAAATATGGAACAACTGTGAAAATAAGTCCAGGACTTTATCCTCAAAAAGTTTAATATGTTGTATTTTAGATTTTAAAAATAAACCTTATTAGCCTAGCTTGTGTTAGTCCTGCCTCAGTCGGCTATGTTCTCATTTTTTTTTAGGAATGAGGAATTAATGGGAGATAACTATTGTGCATCAAAGACAGACGGACGATGACAATCACACTTTGATCACTGTTGTTAAATGACAAAGCTGTTACACATGATAATTATTTCAAGGTTACAAGGCATTTATTTATCATTTTACAGCACAGGGTTGTGTAATGAGATTACGTTTTAGTTCCCTTTATGCTATTCACAAAAAACAAACACTAAAAGTTAGATAGAGTAGATGGATGAATAAATAACAAGTCTTATTACTAAAACTATGTTACAGAGTGCTGAGGATGAATTAAGTATTTCAGAATTAAGACAGAGACTTCTGTTTGTGTGATCCGTCTTTCTTCAGGCGGAGGCTATCCACGTCAACCCGCTGTACGTCCTGATCCCCACCACCCTGTGCACATCCTTCTCCTTCCTGCTTCCAGTGTCCAACCCGCCCAACGCCGTCGTATTCGCCTACGGACACATCAGCATCATGGACATGGTGAGTCCTGTGGTACAAACACAGAAACAAACAGAAAGCAGTTTTTATAATTAACTCCTTCACGATACTACACTGATACCCGAAAATAACCTCCATGTCTGATTGCTGCTGCAGGTGAAGGCGGGGATCGGCGTCAATGTGATCGGCGTACTCTCCGTCATGTTGGCTGTGGCGACATGGGGAGTTCCTTTATTCTCTCTGCATACATACCCTGACTGGGCACCAATCCTCCCCGGGTTCAACGCCACAACACCCTGATGATGGGCCCCCAGGCCTGGATCTCACTGTGAGGCTCAGGTACCTCCAAGGGCCTCTTAAGGGGGCTCCAAGGAGGCTCTTAGAAGGAATAGGTTAATGTGTTTTTATTCACTGAATCCAGAGAGAATGTATTTATTGTTCTTTAGTTGTTTTACTGACCCCCCTCTATAGCGCATTCACACATTTAGGAACCCTTGTTGTAAGACTGGTTCTCCAGGTTGTATATAACTTCTAGGCTACTGTATGTTTTGTCCTTTCTCTGTACATGTTGCTGTTTCAAAACACTGTGATTAAAGAATAAGTCTGGTATTATTCTTCAGTTGTCTTGCTGTCAACACATCCCATAAGCAGACCCAAACCAACAAGGAACTGATCCGACTAACAAGTATTGTATCTAAAACGTGATACATCTTCTTTCTCTGTGCCGTAGAGTTCCACCGTTGTCCAAAAACTATTTGCATCACAATTAAAATCACAATTATCCGTTATTATCATGAACATACACAGTTTATTTTTACTGAATTACCACATACAATGTCCTGTGGAAACCGGAAAACTCATCAGAGCGCTAAATGTGGATTAATCCGCCGCTGGAAATAGGTCCCAAAAATGCAGCCTGTTTGTTTGCTAAAAACTACAGTGAACAGCTGTTTTAGGAAAATGGGAGGATGAAATGAAACCAAATAAAGTAAACTGATAACTCTTAAACATGTTAGATTTTATATTGATATGTATATTTATTATAGAAAATCTTTTTAGTTATTTTTGTTTCTTTGTGTTGATACTGATGTTGTATCTTTGTTGTTGTTTCTAGAGCTGTAAATTTGGAAAAAACGTCTTCATAGTGTCTGCGATGTAGTTCTGTTCACACCCGCACTCTTAGAGTATTCTGCTGCAGTATAACTGCTGGGGTGTTGTGTGAGTAGAAGCTGCAAATCAAAATCAAACAAGACTGAAAATTTTGAAACTGGAAGAAACTGAGAATAAAACGTCAGTAATTAAAAACATGAAGCTGTTGTAATGTTCTGTACACACACACACACACACACACACACATATACACGTAATGCATTCACTAGCCCCTTTCTATAACCATCACAACTACATGCCTAACCCTAACCTTAACCCAGTTGTAACCTTAACCCTTCAGAAAGCATCTCTACCTTCAACCTGTGGGGACAAAAATTGAGCTCCCCACAGTTAGAGACTGCTTTTTAAGACACAAGTCTCCATCGATAAGTCCCAGTCCCCACTGGGATATAAAGACATGAAACACACACAGGTTGTGTGTCTTTTTCCATATATATATATATATATATATATATATGTGTGTGTGTTGCTGTTGTTGCTCTGTAAACTCCTTGTGCATTTAAATCTCTAAATTGTTTGAGTAGTAAAATACGCCAGAGAAACACTGACCTCTAGTGGCCACAGTTACAGCCTCCAAACACAGGCTATCAAACTGTTTACTGTATGAATATAAAACACCTGACTGAAACCGATGCCTATTCAGCAGCCCTGCAATATAGTCTTCCTTCATGAAGGTTTCAATGCTCAGTTTCTGATTCAGAGAAGTGTTGATAATGTTATAAACATGTAAACACACAATGTTGTTTGCAATATTTTGTCCACCCTCATTAATACAAGTGGACAAATATTAGAATCAACTGCCAATTTTTTGTCATTCCCCTTTTCAGCAGTTCAATAACTCATAAGTTCAAAATCTTAACGGTGACTAATAAGTTAGCCGCATCATGTGAGCAGAAATAATTGAATAAATAGTTAATTAACAAATAAATTAAAGAAGTTCATAGGATGTGTGTGATCAAATATGTTTTAGGAAAAAAAGAAGGTATAAGAAGAAAAAGAAGCGGGTATTTTATAAACATGTAGAACAAAATTATAAATGCAAGACTTTTGTTTTTGCCCCCATTCATCATGAGCTGAACTCAAAGACTTTCTCTGTGTACACAAAAGGCCCATTTCTCTCAAATAGTGTTCACAAATCTGTCAAAATCTGTGTCAGTGAGCACTGAGCTGAGATAATCCATCCACCTCACAGGTGTGGCATATCAAGATGCTGATGAGACAGCATGCTTATTGCACAGGTGGGCCTTAGGCTGGCCACAATATAAAAGGCAAAAAAGTTTGCCTTTCCTTCCATACATCATTCTAATTCTTGAGTTAACTTGCCAATAAACTGTGTAGTATTTTTTATTCCAGGTTAATAAATCTGGGAATGTGACCTCTTTTTTCATCTTTGTGTAATTTTGCAATAAAGCCTTGTGATATTTTTTAATATTGATAAATCCGTATTTACTTTACTTATGATATTTTATTGTGAGGTCTACCTCTTTAAGTGTGTTTTTCTGTGAATCAAACACATGTTGCTGCCCCCTTCCAGTCAAAGATTGTGTATGCAGGAGAGGCATCACACAGCTCGTAAAAAAACCCTCCCCCCTCCTGACATGCAGAAGTGGGCGTTCATCTTTACTGTGTGCTTTTGAACTTAACTATCACAGACAGTGTGCTGAGACTCACAGTCTTGCAGTGGTGAATGTAAAACTATACAGAGGATCGGACAATCTGAAGAGAGCAGCATGTGATTTTAAAGAAATAGTAGGCCCTATGTTTTATTGTCACCTGAACTGGCACCACAGGAATCTATCCAATCAAATGATTCTATGAAGGCACTTCCATTTCGATATTTGTAATTGTAGGCTATATAGCCTAAATAAAAGCACATCTTTATAAATCGTTGTAGCCATAGGCCCTACTTGTTCCAACGCAAACAACTTATTCTCTTCTAAATGCAGAAAACCAGCTGTTGAATCCAGCCCTGATGACTGACTCCGCCATTTGACAATTTGTGGACCAGCGAATGTAGATAGTCTAGGCTACATTTGATGGCAAAAGTAGAAGAAACGTCAGCCACGAACCGTATCAAAAACTTTGTTTGATATGATAAAACTAAACTAAAAAAGTTTAATGTTTTGGGAAACACAGATGCTCTCCTGGGCAGACTTGGATAAGAAGATCGATACCAGTCGCATGTGGCTAAGTGAAGAGTGGTAGCTAGATCTTCTCTGGACACCATCAACACCCAGCAGCTGAGGAAGTTCGACCTGTCACAGACACTGAAGGCGCACTTCTACACCGCCATCATCCAGTCCATCCTCACCTCCTCCATCACCATCTGGTGCGCTGCTGCCACTGCCAAGGAAAAGAGCAGTCTGCAGGGTAGACTATCGTTCGCTCTGCAGAGAAGGTGTTTGGCTGCAATCTACCATCCTCCAGGACCTGTTCTCCTCCAGGACTCTGAGGCCAGCAGGAAAGATTGTGGCTGAACCCTCCCACCCCGGACACAAACAGTTTTAGACAGGTCCATCAGGACCAAAACCTCACCCCCCCGACTCTTATGCCCCCCTTATAGTACTATGTTCAGACCTGCATATTTTATATATCACTGCCCAAACTGCCATATTGCACACCTGTTCTTTATTATTCTATTAGGCCTATTATTATTATTATTATTATTTACATCTTGTCAACTGGACATTTAGCTATATGTTAAATGTCAAAGTAGCCTATTGGTTTAAGGATCAGCTTTCTTTAGACGTGTGGTTGTGGTTTGAGTGTTCCGTGAGTTTTGTGGTTCTTGAAATCCAGACAGAGTGAGACCTCTTCGCTGTTCTTCTCCCATCTCTGGTTGCAGCTACAGGTTGCTCACCTGTGTGCCGGAGCGCCCGGTCACAGAGCGCGCGAGCTCTGTGCTGCAGGCTGTGGCGACGAGCGCGCGCTGCCATTCCAACAGTCACAGAGTCTCCCCGGTGCGACGGAACGAAGCGCACGCGGCGACGACCTCCAAATATTAACGTTAAAACTCCACCCACCACCACCCCCCCACTCCAAAAACCGACGGCTCCAAACACACCAGCGACCGCAGCCTGGGAATATACCGCCGTTTGGGAAAGTGCAGCCGTTAATGCCACGTCGACTAAAACAAACAAAGTAAAGCTTTTAACAGTTGTTTCTCTCTTTCTTCGGCTCTGTGGGTCTGGACCGCAGTGAACCATGCTGGACCCGTCCTCCAGCGAAGACACCGGCGGGGAGTCCGACCCAGAAGTTGTTCAGGAGGCTCCGCGGAAACCGGCTGCGTCCTCGTCGGGGAAACGGGGTAACCGTGCGGGAGGCCAGCAGCGGCAGCCCGCCGCACCTGGAGGTGCCCCCGGCAAAGGTGCTAAAGACAGCAACGCCACAGGTGAAGAGGAAGAGAGGAAGGAGCGCGAGCGGATCCAGAAGGAGGAAGAGGAGAGGAAAATTAAACTGCAGATTTATGTGTTCGTCCTGCGGTGCATAGCCTACCCGTTCAACGCCAAGCAGCCCACCGACATGGCCCGGCGACAGCAGAAGGTGAGTCTGCGCCGCACACTGAAACAACAAGCACCTGTTGTCTAGTACGGAGGGACCTGCCACCAAACTTCTATTAAAAAAAACTGCCAAGTTAAAGCTGACTTTCTTATCTGACTTGATGTTTATAACGATAAACAAATGTCCTAATCTTTTTGGAATCATATGGAGCTGACATTTAATTCGGCATTTATTTCGACCACCACGCATCACTAATTTCAACAAAATTGTTTCTTTTCATCTTCGATTCTCCTGTTGCTTCCACATCGTTGCCCAACCAAAATACTCCCTGCAGTGCGACGCCCCCCCCCATTGTGATCCAGCTGTTAAATTTGAAATATTTCTTAAATAAGCCTCACATAGTATCTATATGAAATGAAAGCCGAATTTAACATCCACTTGACTTGTTTATTGTTAGATCTTTCACTCGTTTGTTCTTTGTGTATCAGCTTGGTGTCAACCTTGCATAGAAAGACATCCAAAAGGAATCAGATGGTAAAGGCAGTCCAGAGAAGTTTTTAGTTTTTACCACATGCTCTTTGCAGTTTTATTGATCTGAAAGTTGGGTAAAATGCCATCTCAGTAAGCCATCCGCATTACATAAAAATGTATTTAAATAGCCACTTTGTTTACCTTTAATGCAGTATAATCTGTATTTGTGCTGTAACCCTTTTTAAATGCAAACATCAATACATGAAAACACTTTGTGGGGGTTCCTCACCTTAAAATGTCCTGCGACATTGAAATAGTTTCATTGAGGATGATATAACAATCCTGCACCATACATGGGGGCAGATCTGTCCATGTGATACAGGAAGCTTTATTTTATGCTAAAGGGGAGGCTGACTGTGCTATGCATTCAGTCTGAAGTGTTTCTGTCTTTGCTTTTGCTAGGTTGTATTGCAGAATGCATTGAAGCTTTGCTGCACCACAGTCAGTGGCCATTTAGCTGATTTGGTGAATAGCTTTCCATGAGTTTGTTCACGTTAGATTCAGATGAATGCATTCGTGAATTGCTGGAGGGCAGCCTGGACCTGCGAGCTCTCACTAATGAAACAAGCAGGGAAGCCAGTTCTGACTGAAAACCCCCTACGGTCTCCGGTCCCGCTGGGAAGCTTGTTAATGAGTGTCTCCTGGTGTTTAATTTCACTATGCAGGCGAGGCGTTCTTATTCAGCGTATGTGTGTGTGTGAGTGATGAATCCGCTCTGACAGAAGGCAGACGTGGGAGTTTATTTGTGCACAAGTGTAAGTTCAGAATGTTAAACCCATGTTACGTTAATGAGACAAAAACTTCAGATCCAGCAGGAGAAATCGGCCTCTTACTGAGTTTTTATGTTCACTCCAGCTGATGCTGGAAGTCGTGCTCCTCCCTGTGTTGATTCCTAAACAAACAGAGTGTGAATTCATTACACGATTGGAGAACGTGGCATCGATTTGTTGTCTCATAGAGGAAGCAGAGTTTCTCATGTTGCAGTACTCCCCGGTGGGAGGTGGAAGTGAGTGAGTCTCTGTGTGGTGGGTTGCCAGTTTGAATCCCCTGACTCTTGCCCAGCAGACTAGATCACTGCAGGATGGAGAAATCAATGAAACACGCAGGATAATGGAGCATTGGCAGGAGTGGATTTTTAGAGGGAAAACTGAGGTGCAAACTGTGTCAGAAAGCTGATCTGAGAACAGCCAGTGTTGAGACAAAGGATGCTCCAATGTTGACCTATTGACATGACTGATTCACATTATAATTTTCTGTTCTACTCTGTTGGTAGGCTGCAGCAACATAATCACACATAAAGTACCTGCATGTGCTTTACAGTTTTAATAATAATAATAAACTTTATTTATGGAGCACTTATCAAAACAAAGTACAGAGTGCTTCACGCACAGAGAAAGATGAAATAAAATACCACAATGAATGAAAAAGGTACAAGAGGGCCAAAATAAAAAATAAATAATTACAAGGAAATAAAAACATTAAGATTTGCAGGATAAAAAGAAGTAGAAAAACAGAAAAAGGCCAGCATTTGAGCTCTGTACAGTGTGTGGTCGTTTCAAGGTTTTCTAATTAAGACTAGAAAAGAGGCTGTTGCAATAATCAAGACGAGAGGAAATTAAAGCATGTAAGCTGTTTCTGCATCTGTACAATTTAAAATGGAAAAAATTATTTTAGCAATATTTTTGAGGTGATTAAAAAAACACGACTGGACAAACTTAGTGATACGTTGCTCAAAACAAACAACAAACAATTGTTATCAAAGAAGACACCAAGATGTCTTGCACCAGGCTTGATATGTTGTGACAGGTGACCTGGAGCTGGCAGTATTTGGTTTGTGATATGTTGGGGTCCAACAACATGGATTTCTCTAGGGCCGCAGCTATCGATTTGTTTTAATAATTTATTATTCTACCGATTTATTTTATCGAGTAATCACAAATACTTTTGCTTGGTGCCCCCAGTACCAGGATCAGCTGTCTAATACAGTACAAACAATAACAACAAATGCATGTTTATACATTTACAACTAAGAAGTGTGCCTTACCTTTGCTAGCCTTCATCTCAAATAGCAATCATGATTTAACGATTTAAATGCTAACATTAACGTTGCCTTGTTTTGGGTCCGCTCTTTGGACTCGCAGACTGGGTGCTTTCTGCTCAGAATCATTGCCGTCGTACTGCTGTGGTAGACTAGTTCCGTTTTATAGTAGACACACTGTACAGTGTTGTTGTTTTTTCTTTTAGCTTTAAATTAACTTTTTGTCTATTTTCTCTCTGTTCCTCCACTTTGCAATATGTGCCATCAAATCGCATTGTCTTCACTTGTCCACAGCGTTATGCAACAGTAACAATCATCCGTAGCTTTTTAATAATCGAGTTACTCAATGAATCGTTCTAGATTTCTTTAATTTGTTAGAATTTCACTGAAGAAAAATATTTTAATCAAATTTTTCAGCCAGGCAGTCCCAAAAGGAACCAGGGGTGGGGGGAAAAAATCGATACAGGATAGTATCGCGATATTTTGCAAGGCAATATCGTATCGTAACACGAACGTCAAGTATCGATCTTTTATTATATGAATTGTACATGAGAAGTTTGTTTTTTGGCACTAATAAAATTGTTTTTTCAGTCCACTAGAAAAAATTTTTTCCTTTGGGGACGAAATTTGAAGTTGGGAAAAAGATAATATATGTTTAAAATCGCAATAAAATCGTATCGTGACGGAAGTATCGTGATAATATCGTATCGTGGGGCCTATAAGATCTCAATTTGAATACCTCTGCTGTACCTGTTGTGGAGTTGGGCTTATCATATTATGATGAAAGTAAAGTAGCATATTGTGTTCTTGTTTGACAGATTCCTGTTGTCCAACATCCAGCCAATTCTTCCAAGCAAAAAATGAGTTGGTGAAGGATTTTTATAGAGGTGCTCCTATGAGGATTTTCTTGGCCGATTACCGATCACGATTGCTGAAAGCAGTATCGGTCGATACCGATCACTGGGTCTATTTGAAGCCTGATTACTGCGAACATCTTATAGCTTAACAAATATAAGCTTTCCTGTGGAATCAACTACAAAAAAACAGAACATCATCTTTATAAATTTACTTAAACTAAAAAAAACTGCAACAAAAAAGGCTGTAGCCAAAATACTTAAGAGATAAAGAAGCACAGGCATCCTGAGTCAGTGATGAACTCTGAAGTAGCCTTTTTGTTCTGGAAAGCTCAAAATAAGGGAAATTTAAATAAACAAAAGCAGCCTACTAAGTTAATTCCATATTATACTGTTAGTATATCGTTAATATTATGTATAGTTGCTATACTCATTAAAATTTAATATGGTTTACCACTAGTATAGGCCTAATATTATTTCAGTATGGGAGATATACGGGGAAACATTTAAACGGGAGGATACGGGAGAATCCAGGGGAAAGCAGGAGGGTTGCCGTGAGAGGGGTAGAGAGAGGAGTGGGGTAATCTTAGGCTATATCCACACTACTATGGTTTTTAATCTTCTACGATCTTCTCCGTCCACAGCAGCATTTTAACTGCGTATCACAGTTGATCTCCATCCATATTAAAACAACTGAAAAGACACACCTAGCATTCACATACACTGGGCATGCCGGTGTAAACACGAAGCAGATGGTCTACTCCGCAGTTGCAGAAGATTTGCCGAAAGAAGACTATAACCACACCAGGTATTTTTTTTCCTGGACCGACTATGAGCTGGAACTGTTACTGAAAGTAACACGGGAGTACAAACTGTGGCGGCAGATAAATACAGCAACCTGCACTGTAGTACTTGTAGGCTAAGTGTTATTTACACAGTACAAAATATTGTAATAAAAGTACAGAAACTAAAACTCTGTCAGTAGCATCGTGTTTTTGCTTTGCATGACTGATAAGACCGAATCAGAAAGCCAAATGTGAGTGTCTGTGTCTTCGTTTTATAAAGTCCTCCGTTGTTGCCCACGGGGTCAGCAGCGTTAACTAACAAACATCTTCGGATTTGCCATTTTAATCTGGATGGGAGGCGGAAACGTAGCGAGAGAGAGAGGCAGTCAGCTGATTGAGTGGCGCCTCTCTTTGCACAACTTAACATCTTTCTCCCTTTCTCTTTTCACCACACTCTCATGAACACACACACACCCACACCTCTGGTCTCTTACTGCAAACACATCGGCCTCTTCTGTTTCTCTCTTCATGTATGTGTCTGCTGTGTTTACTTTCTCTATCACCAGTATGTTTTGCAAAGTGCCTGAAAAGACACAGAACCAACGTGATATCACGGCTGACAGAACGTGTCTTTAGGATTTTTCTGTTTTCACAGCAGCAGGTGCGCCACATGTAGAGGAGGCTTGTTTATGACGAAGCCTATTAAAAAGATAAAAACACAAGTGGTCATCTGCACTGGTGTGTTCACTGTTGCTTTACCGTGTCCGAGTCTTGTAACGTAATAGGTCACCAGATAACATCTCTCTCTGTGTTTGTCAGCTGTTAATATACCTG